AGCTGGGAGGAAAAGAGGTGGATTCATACCTTTTACAAGTGTATTTGTGTGTAAATGAATATAATTGGAACTCAGCTCTCCAGTCTCTAATTCTTAGTTATTTTCCATTAAACAACCTGTACTTCCAACCTTACAACACCTGGTAATCCCAAGCAGTCACCCATCTAGGTACTGACCAAGCACAGCATTGCTTAACTTCAGTAATTGTACAAGAACCAGTGTTCTCAACATAGATGACCAAAAGCCCTATAAAGAATTAAGTGACATACACCTATCATTTATCAACAGTAATTTCATCAACCATGTCATTGACAAGCACAGAATTAGCCTTAAAGAGACTTAAAATAAATAATACAAGCAATCATCCTGATATAAAAAAAATATAAACACATTAACTTAATATATCATAAACAGATGGACTATAACTATAAACAGAATGAACAAGCCTTTAAAAAATATAATTTTACTGGTGTATATGTAAAGCAAGATGCCCCCTCAGGTGATATATTGAAAGGCATAAAGTGAGAAGATGCCCCCTCAGGTATATAATTCTGTACTATTATCCCTATGATACTTTCTATATTGTTAAAAAATGATACCCCCCCCCAGAGCAAGATTGACATGAATACAACATTACAGTCAGTGGTGATAAGAGCCTCACTTCATAAAAATATTGCCATATGCTCTATTTACATCTCCCAAATGATCTTATAGATTGAGTGGAATTAGTAAAACTATTGAAGCAGCTCCTAAAACCCTTTTTTCTAATGGATTTTAAGTCATAATATCATCTAGGGTTGTAGAAACATGGACCAGAAGAAAAGATTAATGGAAGATTTCATCAATAGAAACAATATGTCTATACAATGACAAGTCATATACTTACCTTCACCCATCAAGTGGTACATATACAGCAATAGATCTAACCTTATGTGACCCTGCAACATATCTAGAGTATAGCTGGAAAGTACATTATGATACATATGGTAGTGATCCCTTTCCAGGTGTGTTAGAAAATTCTGGATCATTGTCAGTTGAAAGAATACTATATTGGAAACTTAAAGCCAGTTAGAAGGAATTTAAAAATGCATGTGCCTTAAAACTTAGACAAGAAGCCAATGTGGACAACGCTGAGTGCATCACCTATTTCACAAAAACACTTCTGGCTGTTGTAGAACAATTTATACCAAAATCAAAACCTAAACCTGTCAAACACAATAGACCTTAGTTTCACAAGTGTAAAAAAGCCATCAGATTGCATCGTGCAGCTCTATGTAAGTTTAAATTACATCCAACTCAAGAAAATCTCAACATGTACAAAATAGTGCTAGAGCAAACAGAATATAAAAAAATCCAAGTAATCCTCATGGAAGAACTTTGTGTCCAATATTTGTTTTAATACCAAAACAGTATGGAATGTGATCCACAAAATCACTGGGAAAAATAAAAGCACTCTCTTAAGACATACAAAATAATATCAAAGCAACTAATAAAGAGAATATTACAAATTTATTAGCATAAAACTTTTCTCACCCACACTCCTATAAATTCAACTATCAGGACATAACTGGCTCAATGCTGGCAACCGGTTTTTGTGAAGCTATGTTCCCCTAACCCCGACCAATCAAGTTTCAAAAACACAATTCATATATAACCTGCACCATACATATTTCAAGAAAAAAGTCACAGGTTATAGTCCAGAAAACATGGTAAGCTGTTTTAGAGTATCAAAATAAAAGAGAAGGAAAAATTAAATTTCTATTCTAACAATAATAAAAATTCCAACCAGGTTCTTACTTTACCAGAATTACTAGACTCTATAAAAAAAATCATACAATTCAGCAGTTGTCCCAGATGAAATTCACTATGAATTCTTAAGAAAACTTACCAAATCTTTCCTTGAACTACCTACTCAAAATTCTTAACAACATATGGGTCAGTAGTAATATTCCCAGTTAATGGAATCAAGCTACCATAATTCTAATCCAGAAACCTGGAAAGGACTTAGAAAATCCCTTAAACTATTGTCCAATCACACTTACAAGTTGTTGATGCAAAACATTTGAAAGAATTGTTAATAATATGCTTTCATGGTTTTTCCAAGCTGGCTTCAGAAAGAATAAAAACACAATAGATCACCTGGATTAGACTGGAGTATTTTGTCAAAAATTCTTCCATTAAAAAGGAACATTTAATGATAGGCTTTTTCCAAATCAAAGAATACTATGATAACCCATGGAGATATGGTCTCATAAAAGACTTAAATGAAATGAGCCTTAAAGGAAAACTGCCAATTCTTAGCAACTTCCTGACAGAATGAACCTTTAATGTTCATATAGGCACCACACTATCAGACCTATATGAACAAGAAATGGGTGTCCCTAAAGAAAGTATGTTATCAGTGACGCTCTTCAATGTCAAAATAAATGGCATCATTAAATGCTTGAATCCTGGAGTTGACTTTGAAATGTATGTAGATGATTTTCTAATATATTACAGACCAAAAAGTATTCATAAAATTGAACAAAAACTCCAACAGTGACTCAATAAAGTCAACAAACGAACCAAAGAAAATGGATTCAGATTCTACAAAGAGAAAAAAAAAAAATAGTTGTGTACACTTCTGTCAACTTTGAAAGCTCCACCGTAATCCTGAATTAATACTCTATGGTACAGAAGTGACTCTAGTAGACCAATACAAATACCTAGGAATAATTTTTGATAAAAAATTATCCTACATACCACATACAAAATACCTTTGTGAGAAATGCAATAAAGCTATACATCTACTCAGCGTGATCTCTCACAAAGACTGAGGAAGATGACAGACGTTACTGAAACTCTATCTGACATTAGTTAGATTCAAATTGCAGCAAGAAAATCATGTGAAAGAACTAAATACTATCCATCACCCGGGTTTGTGACTCATTTTAAGAGCATATAATACATTCTCAATTAAAAGCTTATATGCTGACGCACATGAGTCACCTTTGGCATTAAGACAACATAAATTGGCACTGCAATATTACACCAAGCTTTGTTCATGCCCAAATAATTCAGTTTACAACTGTATTCTCCAACCTCAATACAAAGTATTATATAATTTAAAGGAAAATGCCATTAAACCTCTTGGCATCCACATATAAAATAATTTCAAAGAACTCAAACTCTTCTTTAATATTTGAATCTATTCACTCAACAATTCCTCCCGGGTTAATAAAACAGCTAACTGTAATATTAATGCTGGCAAAACACTCTTAAATTGACACTGATACAACTGTATTCATGGAAGAAATTCATATCCTACAAAAACATACAAATTGTAAGCATATATACACCAATGACTCCAAAAATATTGATAGTTGGATCTTCAGTTACACTGAATGAAACCATATTTCAAAAGAGCCTACCTGACAAATCCATAGCAATTGAAATGACAAATGCTGAGAATACCACATACAGAGAATGCTAGAAAAAAGGAAGTTTTAAAGAAAAATAGTAATTACAAGGAAACTACTGCTACCAATTAAAAAAAGATAGCTGAAATTTTGAAGACACATAATGAAGAAAGGCTGCTTGAAGAATTTAACACCCACCAGGAATATTGAAGGCAAAATTATCCAGAGGATTGATTGATTTTTTTTATGCTTTTATCAACCCTTTTTAGGTTTATAAAGCTAAAATATGTTTTGAATTTCTGGGATGAGGAATTATCCTTAATTACACTATTTATATTCAGACAATTGTCCTCGTCTTTGTTGTTATTATCATGTTTCAGCTGTTATGACCTCCAGGTCTCATCATCCTGTATATCGATCTGGGTACCCTACAAGGAATTCTGAACTGAACCCTTTATTTAATCTATGGGGGTAGACTGTTCTCGTTCCATTGCCCATGTCTAGGGATATCTTATCTAGTTCTTATTTTTAGTACTTCTCAGTTATTGCTCACTTATTTCCACCAAGTTCACACTGCCTGTCCCAGAGATTGAACACAGAATTACTGTCACCAAATTCATGAACCAACATTTTAATAGATTAAAATGTTGATTCATGAATTTGGTTCAGTTTTTTCACTTGGACTCAGTTGAAACAGTCTACACCCATAGATTAAATAAAGGTTTCAGTTCAGAATTCCCTGTTTGTCTCAACATTCACTTGGGTGAAGGCTGTAAGCCACAATGGCTGAAAAATTGAGATAGCAACAACAAAGATGGGGACGATAGTTGAAATATAAATATTTTGGATTGTTATTTTTTTTTGCAAATGAATATTTATTATAATTTTTAAAGAATAACCATGATTTTTCCAGATACAAGTCCTACTATTTGACCCATAGTTGAGGGAGAAGAGATGAATTCATATCTTTCTTAAGGGTATTTGTGTGTAAGTGAATGCAACAAACTCAACTGAAATTCGAACTAGACTCTTTAATTTCCTGTTCACAACTGCTATTACATCTGTACATCCTAGAAGCCAAGGGAAATGGTTATCTCTTTGATGATCATAAATAAATAGATAGCAGAATGAAGACAAAGAGGAGTAGTAAAGGAAGTTGTGGAGATCCAAGGCATGTAAAAACAAAACTATCATTATGATTTATGATTATTTTTACTTTTATTATTATTATTATTATTAAATATCATTCGTGTGCCACAAAGAAGTGTGTAGACAAGTCAAGAATTTTACCTGATTCCCTTTATTTCCTTTAGAAAAGTAAAGAGAACAACTCTGTAATTAGCAATTAATATACATTGAGTTACCTCCCTTGGAGAGATTTTTTTTTTATAATTTCTACTTAAAATTATTTGGAAATTAACAGCCCAATTTGATTGGAAATTGCTTTATTTTCTAGGGTATGCATTTTAACAATAATGAGTTAACAAAAATAATGTGCCATTTTTTTTTTTTTTTTTACTTTTATAGTAACAAAATTAGTCATTTAATCATTGTCATATTTGTTATAAGAAGAAATTAAAAAAAAGGAAACAAACAACTCACCTCTGTGCCTATTGAAGACATCTGAGGTAATGTCTTTGATCTTTGTGGAAATGGTTTGGAACTGCTCTGTGGTTGTAAAGTCATAGATTTGACCATGGCATTTCCTGATCTGTCCGGTTCCAAATCACTGACATCATCCAACTGAAAATACGTAAAAAAAATAAACCAATTATGACAATCCTTCTAGAAATCAGAAATCATCATTCCTTAGTAAATAAGATAAAGGATCTGAGAAAAAAAATAGTTTAATTGTACAATAGGCACTGCAGCCAGAAATAATCATTTTTCTTCAAAATCTTTTCCATATTACTAGATTAAGCAATCCAGATCACAAATAGAAAAAAAAAAAGTAAAATTTTATAAAATTTAATAGGGGTAGTTGAGTTTTCTATATAAATTCATTGTAAACTGACCCCACCCCCTATGGAAGCCAAAACAAATTATGCTCATCCCACATGATTTCTTCAAATGTAAAAAAAAAAAAAGCTTAAATTGCCATTTTTCTATAAAAATGTATTGTTGGTCATTTTATAAAAAATGTACTCTTGATTTTTGTTTGGGGGTTCACTATTTACCCATAGCTGGGACCCTAACAGGTGCTACCACTCTTGGTCAGGGTGGACCTGGGAACAACAGCAATTAGGAGGTGGTTTCACACTCTTTAAAACCTCTAATCTCCTGATCAGAAAAAAAAAAAAATTAAATTAGTAATCTGGAGTTCTTTTTTATATATATATATATATATATATATATATATATATATGACTATCAGTTAAGCACTCCAGATTACAAATTTAAAAACAAAAAATTATTAGATATGGCCAAAAGAGACTGGCGAAACAGAATTTAAAATAACAAAGGAGAGGAAATTAGTTAAAGTAATTCAGAGAATAAGAATACACATTTCAGATCATTTAACTATAGAAAATACATTGGCCAAAATGTAGAGATCAAAACAAAAAAAATGAAGATACTATTCTGAATAATTAAGAAAATGACATATCATCTGACAACACAAAAGTACTCTCAAAGTAAAAGGACTAAAACAAGAAACATGAGAATAATCATCAAAATCATTCAGTTGGTTGATTTTGTTTGACGGCATATCTTCTATGGGCTATTTAATGCCAAAATGTAAATATTTTGTACATAATTTTATGCTTTCAGAGTAAAGTAAAGCTATGTTTTTAGATATATATTTTATAGCTCATAAAACGTATTATTGATAATTTTACTACGAAAATGTATTTTTATATTATTTAGTGTTGCATTGATTGCTATTTTTTTATAAAAAATGTATTATTGATTTTTGTTGGGGGGGGTTCACTATTTGCCCATAAGTGGGACCCTAACAGGTGCTACTATTCCTGGTCAGACTGGACTTGAGAACAGCAACAATTAAGAGGTGGTTTCACACTCCTCAAAATCTCCAATCTCCTGATCAGAGGGCTTGTTGCCGGATGTAGTTTATGTATTATACTGAGAACGTCAGATCATTCAGAGAATATCAAACAACACTAAAAAGACTGAAGAATGAACTGGCCAAAATTAAATGATGAGGATGCTTGTTTGATTAATTTATAAAATAATAATTCCAATAAAATCATATTCATACAGTATGAAACACCCCAGCCCTCTTGCTTTAAAAATCACACTGTAAAACTCAAAAGCTCTCCTACAATACATTTTCACAAAAATGTTCTTGAGATTACAGAGTGAAAAATTATTCTGGAACAGAAAATGTGCTGTTCAGCCTTGATAGAGTTCAAAAGCACTTACACAGCCTTGTGGGTGATGAATTATACCCTCCTCCATTATGTTCTTTTGATAAGTAAGTTCCATTCAGACAGCTTCTTTCCAAGATAAAAAAGTGATAAAAACCCATTGATACTGGTTTCAGATAGAAACAGGTCAAGTCACTTATGATTTTGTTTTTATCATTTTTTTTATGAGAGACTATTGGACCTTAAACTCACAGCTGACTTCAAGTGGAATGTATATGTACAAGCCATTGCTGAAGATGCAAGTAAAATAGTTGGCACCCTGTAGCACTCCAGTAAGTATCTGATTCCATGTGCTATCTTTTACCTTCATAAGAGCCAGATCAGGCCAAGAATGGAGTACTGTTGTCATATTTGGGCAGAAGTTGCAAAGACCACACTTTCTAGCCCTGATAGAGTCCAAAAGTGTTGTAGCATACTTATGGACGATAATGGGTATGCCCTCATTCCTATAAATACAGTAGTGAATACTGTATGTGCTCTGGAGTTGAAGATCCATTGTGGAATTCACGACTCACTTCAAGCAGTTGACTACTACTTCTACACGCTGCTGGCAAATCTTATATGTGTTGTTCTTGTCCTAAGTATTATCATTCATTACCAACCTTCGTTTGATTATTCTATTCAGTAACTTTTCCTTAGGTTACAAGAAAAAGCATCTGTGAGTCCTTGTGGATGACAAATTATTTTCTGCCCTCCAACCTTTCTCTCACAGGAGGGATGTGGCAAGCTTCTAGCTGCTCTTTCGTTACTTTCATGGAAAGTGCTCGAATGAACTACATTCTTTGGTTCTGCCAGGCCTAACCTTCATGGCAAGAACCCACCATATCCATTGTAACAAATCATCCACATTCCCTCTGTATTCCATTTGTGAGAAGTTCCTCTCGAACAGCTTCTTCCTGCTGCTCTGTGTAACAGACTCTCAAGAAGCTGTTTCCCCGATCACTACAATCTTAACCTATTTTAAATCTAGAGTTAACTGCTACCTTCTTTTCCTATCTGTACAAACAGCTTCCTAATGCAACCCTCTACCTCAAGTGTCCCCGGGCCTTGTACAGGGTGAACCTTATCGTAAAAAAAACAAAGGATTTGGGCTAGACTACATATTCAGATATATCTGACAAAAACTTTTTTTTAATTTAAAAATTTTAAATTTCAGCACTCCAACATCTTCAGCATTTCCTCTCTGAGCAATAATTATAACCAATGCTTGCATTTTTATATATCTCCCCCTACACACACACACACAATTCCATGTATTTGAGTAGCAAATGTTCTTTAAAGCAAATACTATAGAAAACAACAGAAATTTTATGTTGATTAAATTTAAAAATTTTATTTTCAAAATTATGAATAATCCTTTTCAAAGGAGGAGGAAATTCTGTTAAGAATTATTCAAAGTTCATTTCATAAGAGAAAAAATCCAATATGGTTCAAGCTTTTGACTTAAGTCATCATCTGGGTAAGAATTTTGAGAGTTTAATGAAATGGTTGCTTTTGTTATATGAGTATTGCTTCAAGAAGCATAAGTCTTTTTTTACTATTTGATTTTGCTAGTATCTTATTATTTGTAAGTAAGTACCTAATTTTACTATTATCCTTATATTGTTAATGTATACTCTGATGTTACTATGGTCTTATAGATGGCAGGTGAGTCTCTGTGAAAGTGTAGTTGTGGTATATCCTATGTAAGGTCCATCAACAAAAACATTACTTTAGTTAGATGAAGTTCTTCTAGAGGATGAGACATGTTACACAGAATTTTTCCCCTTTGTTATTCATTTGCCTAATATTGTTCTAATATATAGAAATCTATATTCCACATCTTATGTTGCTAAGGTTGTGCCCCCTGATAATAAATCTGTTATATAGGAATAAAGTGTCGTTGCTGACACTTGACTTTAAACATAGATCGCCAGTGAGCAAATTATTGAATTAAGTGGATCAACGTGACCATAGAGGAAACACATATGGAAGGTAGCATGTGTCTAATTGATCACTATCCTTGTCTATCCTCTACAGATCACCATTTCTAGTCTATCCTCTATTAATATTCAGATCATCATTTCTAGTCTATCCTCTATTACTATACAGACCACTATTCTCCATTCAGATCACTATACGGATTACTGTTCGAGCGAGTATTATCAAGCAAGTACTATTAGTGCAAGTGTTATTCGAAGGCATCTGACCCCACAATGTTCAACAGCATACTATAGTTGTATCTGCAATTACAAAGTCTTTGATACAATGAGCATTATGAAAGTGACAATGAGTACAAAAGTGTCAAATGAGTGTTCATTGACCTCATAAAAAAACTAAAAAAACTAGTAGGTCTTTGTTATATTCCATGCTAATGGGAATATATACTTGAAAAACAAGGTGGATAAAATAAGAAAAGGTTTATTGTAAAAACCAGTACAATAAAGAATAAAGTAAGTTATGCACAAGGTCATCGCAAGTCAATCCAGTAGTGAGTGCTACTATTGGAAGGTCAGTAGGTCTTGCGTAAGTACTCAACAGATCCCAACCATTCTCTGTAGTCCGTTGACTTACAGATACTTTCCCCATTGAGCCACCTGGGCTAGGTAAGAGAAGAGACGTGTTGTTGTTGTAAGTCTTTGTTATATTCCGTGCTAATAGGAATATATACTTGAAAAACAAGGTGGATAAAATAAGAAAAGATTTATTGTAAAAACCAGTACAATAAGAATAAAGGTAACAGTTATGCACAAGGTCGTCGCAAGTCAATCCAGTAGTGAGTGTTACTATTGGAAGGTCAGTAGTTCCCGCATATGTCTGAATCATTATCAACAGATCCCAACCAGTCTCTGTAGTCTGTTGACTTATAGATAGTTACTACCTATAGTGTAGTCACTCATGGGGATGACAGGTTATTTCATTACATCAGTCATCTACTTCTCTTCGGATTTCTGTTTTGTACCTCTTTCTATTTCTGCATATTATTTGGCAGGTGATTAGTTCCCAGTAAATATTAAGGATTATCTTTCACAAATAAATCAAGTTATCCTAGCAGTTCAAATAGACCATATCATATCAAATGCATTTATGTTTCATATTACAATATTTTTTCTTACATCTTTCTCCATTTATATTGTTTATTCTTTTAGCTTTCTGATCATAAAGATAGAATTTCTTATTCCCGTGTCTTGAACAAAGACTATTCTATTTTCTGTGCTGTCACCTGACAAACACTGAAATCAAGCAATTATAAAAATTTAAATATCCAGGAAGTGTTTTAAGAGAGAACAAAAAAAAGGCAACATCAAAATCTGAAGGCACATTGGAATAGTGAAAGTTACCTTCCAACAGCTAAGCAAAATATTAAGAAAAAAAAGA